GAATGAGATCGGGGAATCCTGTTCGTACCTGCAGCCTGATTAAGTAGGGTTTAGGGTCCAGGTACCCAAATAATAAGGCTTTAGGGTACCTCAAACTCCAATATTTGGGTCCCTAAACCGAAGCCGGAGACCCTAATCCTGCTTGGACCCTAAGGGATGGAATTTGCTCCTCCGCCTTTCCGCTATCCTACAGCCCGGGCATGTGAGCTGCCTCAAGAGACTGCCTGATTGAGCCCGTGCTGTGCTACTATACTAAAACGATAACCTCATATCCCTCGTTTTCTTCTATTTCTGCCTCACAAAAAACGAACAGAGTGCTTCGGAAAATGACACAGCTGGTCCCAAATCAATAGATGCTGTACAGCGTCAGTTTAGGGTTTAGGAAATATGTTATAGGGCTTCCCGTTTCGGCTTTAGCCTTTATGACTTGTAGTTGTCAGCCCTCAGAATACCCCTGGTGCCAGCAAAAGCAAGGCATCTGAAACCTTACTTATACACCCCACGCTACCTCCTGCAACCCCAAACCCTAAGGCCTAAACCCTTCTACAACCCTTCTTTTCCAAGAAGAGGCCCCAAAGAAGCCAATTAGATGTTACGTAACTCTGTGACTGGTGGAGGTGGGAATGGAGCGTATTTTGCCCTAAGCCCTGAACCCTTATATCCTTGCACATATCCCTGTATACCCTATAACCATACATATATAACCATCATATATATATATATATGTATATATAGTCAGGCGTCTGGCGTTCCTGGGCCCCCCCATGGTATGGCCTGGGAGAGGGGGGTCCATGAACGCGCGGAATCTCCGTGACTGTCGCCACTTTTGGACTCTGATGCTGTGTACAACATTCAAAATTTGCTGACAGTTACAGGGAAGGGCTAGTTTGCCGCACGTCTTTGAACTCTTCTAATATTCCACCATGAAGCTCATGTCACCTTCAAAGACCCTCTCAAAACCTCAGACACACTGCACAGGCTGCATAGGAATGATGATCAATCTGAATATTTGAGCATCTATAGATAATCCTATCTCATCATATAAATATCTTCTCTCATCCCCATATCATATAAGCTTAGAAATGGCTTACGTAATTCCTCCATTTGAAAGACCCACACCCACCCACACCCCCACACCCGCAGGAGAGAGGAGAAGACCTGAAGTCACGTCTTTTCATCCCACCCGACCCCAACCACACCCACAGGGGAGGGGGAAGGAGGCCTAGACTATGGGAGGGGGGGGGGGCAGCAAGCGCGTGACCATATATACCCTAAGTAACCCATATGGTTCCACAAAAAACCGTCCCAGCCTCAGCAGGATGGCTCGAGGGAAGGCGGAGTGGCGGCAGCGAGCCCTCATGCAGCAACACCTCCATGCCGTGTAACTTTCTGGTTCTTAGCAAGGAATAAGGGTTTAGGGTTCAGGGTTTGGAGTACTACAGAAGCCCTGTACAATACATTACCAGATTTCCCACTAAGCCCCAGCAAGGCAATGTGTAGGAGCCTATGTCGGTAGAAAAGGGTTTTGGTGTATTATATGCTGAGATGTTGGCAGATATTAGGGTTCTACCTTATCCTTCCACAAACTAACTCGGAGCAAATGGGTAAGGAGTTCCCTTTTGCCTTAGGGGACGGTAGGGAGATGAAACTCTAAACGGCATAGTGCGGCATTGTCATCACAAGGCAACTGTCGATTATGACCAGCATGAGCTGTAGCAATGCCCATTTGCATGATCGCCAGGCGGAGCGTTCCAGTCCAAGGATGATGTGCTTTGGTGACAAGTGCCATGAGCTCCATGCAACTATAACAGAATCTGTCCCTGTATACGCACCACCCGCCGTAATTTTCTGAAGAATGCGGTGGCACAACTTGGTAAACTGTACTCTACACACCAAGCAATGCAACACTTGGCAGTCGAATCGAGCGGCAATTTGTCAGCTTTACAAGCAGGATGGGGGTTCGAACATGCGCCACGGCACAACTGAGACGCAGCACAATGCCGTATTGGACAATGACTAGCATACGCAGCTATTAGTCCCCTAGCCCTATGAACCCCTAAACCAAAAAAAAACCTAAATCCTAAACCCTGAACCCAAAGCCCTGAATCCTAAACCCTAAACCTTTGACCGCATCTGCATGGACCTACAACATGTGGTCAGTTTGTCTTGACTGAGAGATAGCAGCGTCCTTGAAGCAGAGGGGAGAAAGAATGTCCCCTAAACTCTGGACATTGTAGGCCACAATCTCTGAACCCCTATAAGTTAGCCTAGACTTGGATTCCACACCCGAATCTGCACACACTAATGCCTGAACCCCAATCCTTAAAGCCTAATCCCTGAAGCGCAAAATCCCCAATATAACCCCAATATGATATAGTAGTTTGCGTTTTCTTTTCAATTGTCCCTATATAAAGACCTGCTCTCCGATGACCAGCTGGCAGCAAACGGCTGGAGCATGCAAGAGCCTGGACTTAGAGTTTAGGGTTTAGGTGGGGTCTGGAAAGAGATTTGAAACTACAACAGGGTGCGGGGTGTAGCTTCATTACTAGAAACCGATAATTGTGGCACACATTAGGGATAACCCCCAAATCCCCGGTTTAAAGGGAGCCCCCAAACCCTAAACCCTGAACCTATATGGTAGTTTCCCAAAATAAGGGGACCCCATATAGACCCCAAAATCCTATAGTCCTTATTATTGGGACCCCCAAGAAGGTACCCATAATTTTGGGAAACCCCCATATGCTACCTGGCTATAACCTGGGTCCTGTCCTACCTAGAATGTCAGCAGGCGAGGCTCCTGATGATCTTCAGACCAAGAGCCTGTTTACTCTAGTGTTTAAGGTTTAGGGGTTTAGGGGTTTAGGGTTCAGGGTTAGGGGTTAACAGTTTAGGGTTTAGGGGTTTACAGTTTTGGGTTTAGGGATTAGGGGCTTACAGTTTAATGTTTGGGGTTTAGGGGTTTACAGTTTAGGGATTAGGGGTTTACAGTGTAGGGTTTAGGGTTTCCAGGCTCAAATTTAAGATGATACTATAGGATCTCTAATATGATTGATTGTATACTCTTCAGTTAAGGGATTTTGGGCTTTTTGGATACTCGAAAAGCTTGAATTTTGCATGCCACCTTGTATGAGGATCCCTTCAGCTGCCCATACTTCTGCCCACGGAACCTGGAACTTGTGAACTCCCAGGCAGGGCCCAGCAGTTTTGACTCTGAGACTCTGAAAAAACCCGAGATCGCTGAAACTTGTCTTGCCGCTTGGAGGTTCATGGGTTAACTTCCCTATGCTGTTGGGGATTCCTGGGCTCTTTAGCTCCCCTTATCATATTGATATAATATAAACTATCCCTAGCTCTTTAGCTCCCCCCAAAAGTAGGGGTAATTAATGATGAGGAAGATGATGGCAACCCTCGGGCTCCTAAACAAATTGCTAGCATTTTTCCCCTACTTCCAGCCCCACTTGTTCAACTATCCCTGCGTAATACATGGGCCTAATTTTCTACCAGTATGACTTCGAAGTCTACTTGGGGTAGCCCAATACCATAGTCATACAAGATATCTAGTACTTAGTTAGGCGTCTAAACTTTAAACCCTAAACCCAACACTGGTACCTATTTAGACCCCTAAGCCCTAAACCCTAAACGCTACTGGAGTCTGTGCTTCGCACCCCGAAGCCGAGGGAAGGAAGAGTATCGCCTTCAAGCGATCTGGGTCCTCAGGAGCGTAAGAATGAAAATGCTAGAGCTAATTAGCAATAATGGAAACAGCAGTCATTATTGCAATCCTAGTAGTACTAAATAGTACGAATAGCACTAGCAACAACAGAAAAAAACAACATAGGAATACTAGTAATAAAGGAAATAACAGCAGCAACAAAACAAAGTACCGTACTACTAGTAATACTCGCCATGATATAACAGAAATATGAGCAGTGCTAGTGAGAATAGCAATAATAATGACAGTGATACGAAATTACAACCCTAACCCCTAATCTCTAATCCCTAAACCCTAACCCCTAAATACTAAACCCTAATCCCTAAACCCCAATCCCTAAACCCCCATCCCCCCTAAACCCTAAACCCTACATCCCGATCCCTAAAGCCTAAACCCTAACCCCTAAACCAACCTAAACCCTAAACCCCAATCCCTAAACCCTAAAGCCTAAACCCTAAATCCCAATCCCTAAACCCTAAACCCTAAAACCCTAAACCCTAAATCCCATTAAACCCTAAACCCTAACCCCTAAACCAACATAAACCCGAAATCCCAATCCCTACACCCTAATCCCTAAACTCAAGGCATAGGCCGCCCACCTACGATGCCCCCTGAAACCCTTGGGCTGACCGACCTAGCTGGACCCGCCTCAGCACAGCCACGGTAGGCCCGGTACCGGTACCTGAACCGTTCTCCTTGCAACCAGTACTGGTTGCTGAATAACGTAAATACCCTAAACCCCCAAAAGGTGGCTGGCTGGTTTTTTCTAGGCTGGGGTCTGGGCGTCCAGCTCTGCGAGCGAGGGGCCTGAGAGCCAGGAGGGGAGGCTCCCAATGTCTCACCACACACAAAACAACCAAAACAACGGGGGCCTCCCAGAGGCGCCTCCCGGGGGTTTGAGGGGCCTCCCAGCAACCTTTCAAGGGCTTCTGAAAGGCCTTTCTCCCGACCGGGCGGGCCTCCCAGAACCCTCCCAGGACCCTTGCAGGGACCTCCCAACGCCTGCCAGGGATCTCGCAGGAGCCTTCCAGAGGCTGCCTAGAACAATGAAGAGGTGTTGTTGTTGACCAAGATGGACCTAACTGAGTTTAGGTCCTAAACCCTAAAAGGAATAGGTTTGGGTGGTTTGACCGCCTCAGACGGCGTGGGGTGGGTGAATGTGTTGGATGGCCTTCAACAGTCGGGCCATGGCAGCACCTCGCATGCAGCCATGCACTTCAAGGTTCATTGCCACCTAATCCTCGCATCCTGCACGGTAACATCGCAGCAAACCCTAAACCGCGAAAGCCTGCAAAGCACGGCCCCCGGTGGCAGCCCTGCAGCCGCCCTCAGCGCCGTGAGCAGCTCGAGGTCCTTCGGAGGGTTCGGGCTTAGAGTTTAGGGTTTTTAGAGTTTGGGGTTTTAAGGTTTAGGGTTTAAGGTTGAGAGTTTAGGGTTTGGAGTTTAGGGTTTAGAGTTTACGGTTCAGGGTTTAGGGTTTCGGGATGGTGGGACCCTGGAAGGGTCTAGGGCTTTTTAGGGGACCCCTTAAGCGTTTAGGGTTGAGGGTTTCAAGGACCCTTTAAGATTTTAGGCTGCAGTAGCTTGAGGTTTAGGGTTTAGTCTTTCGGATTCAGGGCTTAGGGTTTTGGGTTTTGGGCTTGAAGGTTTGTGTTTCAGGCTTCCAGTTAAGGTTTGCGGTTAGGGTGTATGGTTTGGAGTCTAAGGGCATTCAAAATCCATCTGCAACACGGAGGGGCCACCGTAGGCACCTTTTTGCGCCCATTTTTGAGAGGAAAAGTGCCCACTATCTGCATGACAGGGCATGCATCATTGCCCAAAAAACCCCAATATAACCCCAATATACTCCATTTCATTTCCCATTTTCTTTTCCATTTGATTCTCCATTATAGTAGTTTCCATTTTACTTTCCATTATCCCAATATAACCCTGATGATTCGGGGCCTGGGCTTCCCAAATCAAGGTACTTGACCTACTTGGGGGGTCAGGGTGACTTAGTAAGTAGGTTAATAGTGGGGATAAATGGGGTTACTGTATGGGTTCTAGGGGTCATTAGCCTACTTACTAAGTCTCCCTGACCCTCCAAGTATGGAGCCTAGAAAAAAATGTGGCAACTTGTGGAAGGAGACACATGGAAGGTTGTCGAGATTATAGTCCATGTTTGGGTCCCTGCTATAATACCCCTAATATGCAGCTATCAAAAGGACAATTTTGACAAACCCCATCACATCTCCCTGAAACAGGTATCACAGATGAGATCTGCCCCAAACATGAAGCGCCCTTTGAAAGGGTTCTAGGGTTATATGGGGCATATGGGATGTCTTCTGTAGGACTGAGGGCTTCCATAACTTAGAGGCCAAGGTTCTTGTAGCAAACCAAGGTCTACATAGGGCCCCCCCGGCAAAAGAATCGCACCATGAGACGGTCCCAAGCACGTTGCCAGAAAGATGTCCTCTCCAATGATCTCTGCCATAATTCGAAGCCCTACGTACACCCTAAACCCTAAACCCTCCCCCCCTAAATCCCAAACCCTACACTCGAAACCCTAATCCTAAACCCTAAACCCTAAGCCCCCTACAGGCCTCTGCACCGTACCAGACAACAATGAGGGCCTCGTCTCGGTTTCAAGACGCTTCAGGTTGGGTTCAGAATTAGGGCTGACGTTTAAAATGTTGGTCTAAAGATTTGGGGTCGAGGATTTGGGGTTTAAGTGGCTTAGGGTTTCGGATTCCGGGCTCAGGATTTAAAATTTTATCTAGAATTCAGGGCTGGGGATTTAGGATTCAAAACTCACCAGGTAAGCCAGTGACCCATATCAATGGTCTACATTGCCTTAATTTTCAGAAAACTTCGGGTTAACAGTTGGTTATTATCTGGGATAACGAAAACTCTAAACCCGAAAAGCTAAACCCTAAACCCCAAAGCATGAACCTTAAACCTAGCCCCGAGGCCCAGGGTAAGGGACAAGCATTCGAAGCTGGTCATGGTTGAGCGAACATGTTTGCGATTTCACTGCAGTGTGTTTTCTATTGAAGGTGTCGAGATTAGCTGATGGTTACAACGGTGGGTTTTGCATCACTGTTTCGGTGCCGAATTCGTTGAAACAGTGCAACGGCCTTCCACTACTCTACATGCTGATGCAGTTGAGGCGTTGTCTAATTTCAACCTGTTTGGACAAAGCTGTCTTCAAAAAACGCGAAAACGCGAGTACACTTTCGTCCTAAGCTTCAGGTGGTAGGTTAATTAACAAAAGTGCCTCATATATTCCTTATTAGCCCATGTCCCCTATTTTTCTGAGAAGTACAGACTGCAGCTCAAACATTAAAAGAATCCTGCTGCACCTGACCTACATCAAAACCACCGCAGAACGCATGGTCAAAGGGTTTCAGGCCTGAAAGTTTGCTAAGGATTCGAGCCTTGTCCATTCGGAGCATTTCAGGAACAACGCATGAAGCGACAGACAACTCCAACAGGGAAGCCCTGCATTTGATCCGACCATGCTTGCGGGTGTACAAAGGGAACCGTCGTCCAAACTCCCGCACCAAGCAAATATTCTCAGAAGGTCTCTTCATAGGAACCTGCCGAACTGTTATCATCAAGCTTGATTTCCTTTGAAGTGGCTTAGCCTTCAGGGTCTAAGGCTTAGGGGTGTAGGGTTCGGATTTTAGGGCTCATGGTCATGGGTCAAACCCTGAACAAGGCCTGAACCCCGAAACCCCGAAACTCTTGTCCCTTACAAGGCTTGCAGAATTCCCCAAACCTTGTTTCAAGTACTTTGGGTACATCTAGTCCCCCGTGTAAGCACAGTGGTTCATTTCATGTTCTGTTCTCCTCTCTTCCATGAACCCGAAACCAATATAACCCCTATATAACCCCTATAGAACCCCAATATAACCCCTATAAAACCCCTATAAAACCCCTATATAACCCCTATATAACCCCAATATAGCACCGGATCAAATTAAGTAGGCTCCCTACCAGCTTTTTAGGGCCTCCCATTACCCCGTGTCAACCCTCCAAGGGTCCCTGGCGCTGTGCCCCACCCAGGCACGCAAAAGCGCGGCAGCGGCATGCAGGAGGCGCGAGGCCTGGGGTAAAGCAGATCTTACGTTTGGGCTGCATGGATATACAAGGAGATATGGGAACACATTGAAAGGCTGGTGGGCATTCCGGCCTGAGGCTGTGGAAAATAAGGCTTTGAGTCAAGGTTTTAGGTAAAGGGTTCAATGTTAAGAGCTTCCCCTAGTACTAGGCAGGCAACGCTTCCTTTTCATGATGAAGGGGACGTTAAAACTTATAGCCCCTTGAGTTTTAAATAGATAGCATATGTAATTGCCCAATACCAGAATAAGATCCACATGCACCCATAATCTATCACTTCAGGGGGACTATGACCAGGTGGTGCGTTAATGGCCCCCAAAATCGTTCATCAGCAGGCCGTCTTCTGCAACGATAGAGTGGATACCAAAAATCCTATAAGACTCTAACTACCTTACACATTAGGATGTATGGGAGCTTAGCATATATTGAAGTCATGCAAGATTTTTAAGATAGAAAGTATTGGGGCTCAGGGCGTTTGGAACCCTCTAACTCTGCCCCCAATCCCACTCTCGGACCTCCACCAACAAGGGCCGGTCCACCCTGCCAATACTTTCCTGATTTCCAAGGCCCGAAAGCTTGGCAATAGGGGCTGGTGTGCATTTTTCGCCATGCCGTACGGCACCATGAAAATGGCATGACTTCCCTTCTTCATTGCTCTAGGATTCTGTGGGTCGTCTACACTGTGTTTGGATACCTGTGGAAATACAGAGCCCTGCGGTATTCCGAGAGATCCGCTAAAACGTTGACATGTAACTGGTGCACTACAGCCAGCAGACACACAGGACAAATTGCAGGGCGGTCCCGCGTCTCCTTCCTTCCCATCTTTCCTTCCAGGCATAGTAATGCTGGTCAAACGAGCCCTGTACCAGGATGGGCTATTAGACCTTAAGGGTACCCTATTCTACTCTTATTAGGGTCCTAATAGGGAAATTTAGGGTCTAATAGCCCATAATGGTACGAGTGCTTCAGAAGAGCTTCTCGAAGGTCTGCAGTCCAACGGTTCTGGCACGCACGCGGTAGCGTTTGCAAATTTCCCCGATTGCCACCTGGTACTGCGAGGGTCATGGATACGTATAAGCGAGGTGCGAAGCAAAGATAGGTAGGTTTGTAAGCGAAACAAGAGGACGTTCAATACCCAAAACCCTATGCAACCATGCGTATATGTATGTACACCTAAATATATATACATATATATATATACATATATACCCACACCCTTTTCTCCCTGGATATCTCCATATAATCCGTATGGTATCCCGCCACTTATAATTACCCAGGAGCCTCCAACCGCACCAAATTCCTGGGATGCTATGTGAATTTACTGGGTTCGGGTTTGCATTGCAAGGGCCAGTGGTTGAATCAATAGCCTGATACTCTTGACCTGTAAGTTGTTGGACATAACCGGCTCTTTCTCATGAACCGCAACATGCAAACCCGCATGTGTACTTCCCAATGATGATGCTTGTCTCACCAACAATGTGCTAGCCTAGGTGTGCACATTACGAAGCACAAATGTTATCTATGAAGTTTATCTACGGTTGGGTTAGCCCCACCTATGCAGTCCCCCCAAGGAATCTGAAAATAAGATCCCTATTCAAACCCATAACAGCCCCTAGTTAATCCTGTATACGTCTCAACCTGGTTCTAGGGGAGCAAAGTTTTAGATCCTTTTGGGTGTCTGGGAGTGTCTGAGTAGGTCTTAGCCATTAAGACAGAAATGCTTCACTGCTTTCCCAAGCTGGTTTCTCTGGAGGTTGTGAGACTTCTGGTCCGTTTTTTGGTACCGTTTGTTGAGTGTACCCAAAACCCTAAACTTCCCAAGAAACCCTAAGCCCGAAGCCACAGAAAACCTGGACTCACAAACCTTACGGTGATCCTCTCAACCCCAGATACTAAGCCCAAGAACCCTAAACTCTAAAGTCAAGAAACCCTGATCCCCTAATCTCAAAGAACATAAACCCCTTAACCCAAGAAACCCCCAACAAGCCCCATGCATTTGAGCTGGTCAATCTTCCTAAGCTGTGGCCTCCATCAGAAGCGCTCTTCTCGGCCGTCCATCCTCCAGAAATCAAAACAAAACCCTAAATCCTAAACGCTCAACCCTAACAAAAAGCGCCAAGGTCCTTAGGACCCCAAAACATGTTTCAGAGCTGGAACCGCTAAGGATCCAAAAAGGAGCCTCCCAATGATGCCCTTGTTGGGGGAGGTCCATCTTTGGATCCTGTAGGAACCCCAAAATTCCAGGTTCCCTTTAATTTTCCATTTTCTTGTCCATTTGATTCTCCGTCATCAAAGTGAATCCCTAAACCCTTAAATCCTAAATCCTAAGCTCTATGTACCCCCTCCATCCCCATATCTCCCAGTGTCTTGTATCCTTTGGGTCTTGAGCTATCGCGGCTTTATCGCGGCTTGGGGTTTGAGGCTTGTGGGTGAGGATTTTCAGGCTTGGCGTTTAGGATTTGGAGAGTACTTTGACCTAGTTCGCCCTAAACCCTAAACCCTAAGCAGTAAACCCTAAACCTATTTCCTAAATCATAAACTCTAAATCCTAAACCCTAAACCCTGAACCCTAAACCCTAACCGCTGAAGGCAACATGCGGTCTAATCTCGTGAACACTGGCTGTCCAGGACAAAACTACACTGATGTGATCCGAGATGCAAGCTTCCTTCCAGGGGTCACGGCGGTTTAGGGTTTGGGGTTTAGTAGGCTTTAGGGTTTTGGGTCTGGCGTCCGTCTCACCCTAAGTGGTACATTGTCTCACAAACAACTCCCCCACTCCCAAATCTGAGGCTACCACAAGTACTATATTAGAGGGTTTTTTTGGGATTATATAGGGGATATATAATGGAAAAGAAAATGGAACTACAAAACTAGGAGTATATATCCGGGTTATATCACAACCTGAACATTCCCCAAATCCCAGGCTAAGTCCTCCCAACAACCCAGCAAGGGACCTCCACAATCACAACAGCTGCATGGGTACGAGGTCCGTGTAGCAGGCATGGGGACAGCGCCTATGCTAGGCGCGCTAAGATCAATGCGGGCTCAGCGTTTAGGGTTTAGGTTTTATGGTTCAAGGATGTTCAAGGATCAGGTTCAATCGCCAAGGTCAACCGCACGTTCAATTGGACTGCTGCTATTGGGTTGGAGCTTCAGGGTTGCGGGTTTTGTCTAGCGCTCTGCTCCTGAGATTGCTCGTAATCCTGGTCCTGTGAGTCTTTGTGTTCACAGAGCTTGTTTGCCCGTCCAGACGATCTACCGCGGCTACTGCTCCCTTCCCCTTTACGGGCTGGTCACACTTCCGGGTGTGCCTGCTTCGGGGATTGCTTGGTGGACTCCCAATAGTCTTGTGGTAGTTGGAGAAACGACGCTTGACAGCTCACTTTCAATTACCCCACTACTCCAAGCCAAGCCCCAGCAGTTCAAGGCTTGGAAAAGCCCTGAACAAAATTTTTCAGTTGCCCTCAGTCCTAAGCTCCCCCCACAAGTCCCAAGCGTGCCCCATTAATCCCCAATGCCTAAGGAGTCCTGAACTCATTTTGAATTGCATGAGAACCTTTTGCTCAAAATCTAGAGCCAGCCTCGCACAGAAAGCCAACAAAATGCTTCAAATGCTGTAAATTAGGGCAGCTGGCCTTGGCACGCTTCAAACAGTGCAAATTACAGCGCGTGCTGCTTCAAATGCTGTAAGTTGCATCATTTTCTGGGTCTTGCAAGGATTCAACTGCCGAACGCTCCAAGAACTAAAAGTTACCTCATCTGCTGGTCCTGGAGCGTGTTAAATGCTTCAAAGCACAACATCTGTTGGTCTTCCAACACTCCACTCCTTTGACTAGTTCTCTGGAAACAAATTAGTTTGTGGATGTGGGGGGTACGGATAAGGCTTAGATGCGAGGTTGGTGTTTCCACTGTATTTGCCGACTAATGAGGGAAGGATTGAATTGAAAGGAAATCACCATACTCCTGGGGACTATATAAAGCTGGACAAGAGAATGGACATCACCACATCTTCGGGGGTTATATAGGAACTAGTATGAAGATCCATGATCTAATTTCGCTTCGCTCTCTTCACAAGTTAACAAAACGAAGCCTAGTTGAATAGGTGAAACAACGGAGATGAACCTAAAAAATTGTACTTAAAAACACAACAAAGGAACCAAAAGACAAGGTATAGGGCAGCGATCCAAAGCTTTAAGATTACAACAATACCTTTGGCGTGTAGCAATATTAGCTCCTAAACAGATTACGGAAATATTTTGAAAACTACCCATATTTCTAGCAATAGTCTTATAATAAGCTAATGTAAGCCAAGGCTTTACATATTTCTTCAGTTCTTTAGGATTAGTGGACCCCCATACCTGTGAACTCCATTCGAAAGCTTTGCCACTTCAACATCATACAGCAATGGTTGTTCCATCGCCATTGTTACCAAAACTGCCTCCATTTTTGATTTCTTCTGTTACTAATGCTGTTCTCGGTGTTACTACTGGTTTGGCTAACCCGCGCTATCACTATCATGAGCTTTAACACTTACAGGAATGTTTTAAATCTTGTTGTTAAAACAGTTGGATGTATGAAACTGTACCTAAACTCTGCAGTTTGCCGCAGAGGCTATTCTGGATCAACATGTTGTTTACGCACGGTAAAAACGCAAGGCTTTCAAGAGGGGAGGATTGCGTGGGGCAAAGCCCTTTGCATTTGCAAACAAATTATGACTGGAAGGCCCGTGCTGTCCGGCACTCCATAGTGACCACGTGCTGCTATTTGAGGCACAAAAGCGAGGCTGTAAGTAAGTCCGCAATTCAAGTGGGCGCGCAGGCCCTCCCCTGTCCCACTTGAAAGCATATGATGGCTGGACGACATTTGTCCTTTCTGGCATACACAGTGCCAGCAGACCACAAGACCACCAGATGAAAGGACCGCAGGACCAGAGGACCACGGATCCAGAGGACCACAAGGGAACACAGGACCAGGGCACCAGAGGACCATGCAACAACTGGATATATGAGAATAAGAGGACCCAATGCCACGCCAGGACAGAGCCACACTTTTGCAAAACAAAAAAAGAAAAAGAAAAAA